CCGAATCGGGTGCCCATTTTCGCCATTATTGCGCACTGGATTACACCGGAGTTTGAGGAGAGAGAAGTTATTGAGTTTATTGAGCTCAAAAGATCTCACACTGGCAAACAATTAGCTGAGATAGTTGAGAGGACGCTTGAGGAGCTCAGGCTCAAGCCTAAGCTTCTCGCCATTACGGGAGACAACGCCGGCAATAACGGCACGCTCTGTCAGTCTTTGTACGATTCTCTCAAGACCAAATTCGACGACAAGGTGAGCCCAATAGGAGGCCCGCATGCGCTTTCACGGCAGGAAGAGTTGGATCCGCTGTCTAGCTCATATTACCTCGCTCATTTGTGAGGGCGTCTTGCAAGATCTCAAAGCAGGCACAGCGAAGAAGCCAAGAAGATGCTTGACAAGTGGGACGAAGAGAATAAAAGCAACAACTACACCATTCCGGGAGACTCTAGTCGAAGTGGGATTGCCAAAATCCGCCTCCTCAATCTCTGGATGTTGAGATCCGGGTCTAGGAGCAAGACTTCAAAAGCATGCCGCGCACGCACTACCGGAAGCCAACCTACGATGTCGACACTCGCTGGAATTCGGCCTACGACATGATTGACCAATTCCTCGAGCTTGAGGCAGAGTATACTGAGTTCGTTGATACTCACCCGCAAGTCAAGTGCCTCCTGCCCTTATCAGAAGAGATTGTCGCTCTCTATCAACTGCGGAAGGTTCTGAAGCCGTTTAAAGACCACACTCTGAAAGTCTCCGAAGTTATGCCGCCGATCTCACAAAGTCTCGATATCTATTGGGATTTGGAAGCTCTCCTTGATGATGTAGTCGAAGGAGTTGGCGACTTTACAGACCTTGATATGTCCATTCGAGACGCCTTCTCGAAGGGCAAAGCAAAACACGTTACTTATATGAAGAAGCTTGACGATCAAATGATGCTATTCGCAGCTCACATCCTGGATCCGCGTTATAAAACTCACCAATTGGAAATGATGATACCGGATCAATACTCTGAGATTATGGCTAAAGTCAAGAAGTATTTCAAAACGGAGTGGCCGGAGCTAGCAGCATTGAATGCCACAAACTCAACTATGAGCCAATCCAGACCAGCTGAGCGTCCTCAAGGAGTCTCCATTGCGCAATGGAGAGCCATCCAAATGAAGAAGGCGAGGGAGGCGGAGACGGGCGCGGCGATCCCTATTTCGGAGCTTGAACGGTGGCTTGCAGCTCCTCGAATAGAGTTCGACGAGTCTATTGCAAAGTCTCCAGACTTCCTACTGAAGTGGTGGAAAGAACACAAGGTCGAGTGGCCACTTTTGGCTGCGGCGGCGCGTGATCTTCTCTCTGTCTCTGGCTCTGAAGTTGACGTGGAACGCCTCTTCAGCGGTTGTAGAGACGAATTCGGTATCCGCCGTCACGCCTTGAAGGCAGATACGGTGCGAGTACTAACACTTTTACGGAGTGCTTATACTCAGGAAGATAAGATCGATCAGGCGTTGATCAAGGCGGCCATGGAGTATGACATCCTGCCCTTTGCCAATAGTATTATTTGGAGACCAGACCACATTCCGGGCAAGCTGGAAGATGGTATGTATGGATATACCCTCATTATATATGTAGGTATATGCTAATCTGTGTTCAGGCGAGAATCCTCCTCAACCTCTTCCTCCCACCGAGGCTCCCACTGAACCCCTACCCCAAACCTCCTGCATCCCAAGCCGATAAGTCTGCGATATCAACCCCCTGTCTAGATACAATGGAGGCTTCGGAGGATTGGGGCTCTAAGAGTGTAGCCGTGTACAGTGGCGGATTCGAACGCGTTGTACCGACGTATTTTGAGGATTCGGCAGAGCTTTGAAAGTGCTTATTTTCAGTCGATTTGCCTAGGACAGGCGGATCAGTATTTATGTAAGTTAATTTTTGTAGTATTCGGGATTATCGACTTCTTAGAAGGCTATAACTTAAAACTATATACTACTTATTGGCGTTTTTGAGGCATCTTTGCAATCGCTCAGGTACACACCAAATTCACTTCGTTTAGGGGATCCCTTCAAACCATTCATGAATGGCCTGAATTGGCCCAAACCCAACTTGAATCGCGAAAATTGGAGCTTGAAGATTTTGAATCAAGATCCAAAAAATTCAATTCATTTGATTCATCCTTCATTCAAAATCTTCAAAATCTTCACCTTCGTCTATCACCCCTATCCGACGTATTCACTCGGCAGCCGTCGGTGTCAATTGATCAACAACCAACGGCAGCAGCTGACGTTGAAGACCCTTGAAAGACGAATGACAACGCAATCAGCAGCGTGCTCGCGGCCTGTTGGGCACTCTTTCCAGTCAACCCACTTCCTGGAATGGGGGCAGGAGTTTGGCGCTTCTCGAACAGGGTGGTTTCCATACCCAAGTATGGAAATACCCTTTCCATACTATGGCATGGACAGGGTATGGATATGGATCCATAGTATTTCAATGCTCAGTCAATAATTGGCCAAATTGCGCCACTGACCGGGACCCCTACAGCGCCATCGTCCAGGGGTCTGAGGCCTTGAACCCCGCTAATTCCCACACAAACACAAATCGCTTTCCCACCACTTTGCACCAACGCGTCGGACGAATCAGTTGTCGAACTATGGATTCTGCAAGTGTGCTATCCTTCTTCGATGCTGAATCTATATTGTCGGACTCTACGACATCAAGATCTCGCAATACAAGAGGCAAAGCGGCTATCGCAACGTGGAAGCATGCTCGCGTTGCAGCAGAGGGAGGAAGAGTTTAAGGGCCGAAATCGTCTTCTCTATTGCAGCCATTGTCCCCAGACGAACCCGTACAGCACTTCAGTTACCACTAACTTTCGAAAACATCTGGAGGGTAAGCACGATATTCGAGTCGTGGAAGATTTGACCCTCTTCAATCATCCATCTTTGAGGGTTTGAGCAACTCTACCAGCAAGCACGGGAATTGGGCCACACAACGGAGATTGAGTCGGAGGTCTTCAAACGCTACCTGGACCAAGACAAGATAAACAAAGCCTTAGCTTGGCTGATCGTCGCACGAAACCTTCCTTATCGAATTGTCGAATCCCGCGAATTTCACCTCTTCATTTCGACCTTGAACCCGGTCGCGAAGGACCATCTCCTTCCGCCCACTCGACTATTCCACGAATTATCGACAATCATTTCCAGTCGGCCAAGGATATCGTGCGAATGAAGCTCCAGTCAGCAAAATCCAAGGTTCACCTCTCGCTTGACATTTGGACGTCCCCCAATCGGCTCCTTCTTCTCGGAGTTTGCTCCCACTTTGTTGACCACGCACAAGAAGCACGACGGAAAGCTCCTTGCACTTCGGCCTGTGGCGAACCATTCCGGGAGGAGCAATTCGTTACACTTCTTCCCATCTTGCGGGACTTTGGTATTCTGCGACGCCTTGGAAGCATCGTTGGGGATAATTCGAGCACGAATGACACCCTCTGCCGGGCAGTGAGCACGTATCTCAAGGAAGAGGGCGTCAAATGGGATCCTGAAGTTCACCGCCTCCGATGCCTAGGCCACGTTATCAACTTGGCAGTTCAAGCTTTCCTGTTCCAGAATTCTATTGACTTGAAAGAGGGCGAAATATGCGAAGACGCAGATGACCTGGCAAAGTTCAAAGGCAGCGCACCGAATTTCGCCGCCTTGGACCACTTGGTAAGCTCCACAACCTGGTTGTCAACATCCGGAGTTCATCAGGACGCAGTGGAGAGTTTATGGAACTCGCTGAGAGGGCATTCCACTTGACAATCGTACGAGGTGGAATAGCTGGTATCAGATGCTGCATGTTGCCACTCAGCAGGAAACTGCCAGCGCTCTGGACACCTACACCAAGAATCATTTCGAAGATCTTTCTGCGGATTTTCTATTGCCGGAAGATTGGGCCCGGCTCCGAATAATTGAGAAGATCCTTCAACCGTTCGCCCGAGCGACATTAGCAACACAAGGGGATCATGCGACCCTGGACAAAGTGCTCTTCACGATGGACGTCTTGATCCGATGCTTTGATGAAGCCCTGGTACCATGCCTTCCATTCCTCTGATCTCCTTGTGCAAGCGCTGAGATGGTGCAATAGGTCACGTACAAATCAGACACCGAGCTGTCCTTTAGGATCAAACGAGGGTGGGAAGTCTTTGACAAATATTATAGCAAGACAGAAGCATCGCCCTATTATGCAGCTGCCTTGATCCTTCATCCCAGCTATCGCACAACATACATCCAGGCAAATTGGAAGAAGAAGTGGCAAAACCTGCGTTCAAACAGGTCAAAGACCTTTGGCTCACATACCGAGACACTGTGGATGGCTCCTCTCGCAACATTTACTAGATGACGATGATGACGAGGACCTTGACGCGTTTGATCGCATTTCAAGGAACCTGCAGAATTGCACTCGACCGTCAAGCCAGGACGAGTACGAAGATTACATTTCATGTGATCCGTACGACATTACGCCGACGACGGCCTTGTCATGGTGGCTTCAAGAGCAACAGAAAACGATGGCCCAAGCTATCACAAATGGCCATAGACATCCTATCAATGCCGGCGATGAGTGATGAACCTGAGCGGGTGTTCTCAGGGCGCGTCGCACAATCTCATGGGAAAGAGCCCAATTGGACGCGAAACAAGTCGAAAGGGAGAATGTTTAAAGCATTGGCTCAAGAACGATATCTTGCAAGGGCCGAGGGTGGTGGCGGGTCCCCAGATTTTGGGTAAAATCCTGGCTCAACTTCTACGCCTGTTTCCTGCAAAGGAGCAAATTTCTGCTTGGCATCCCCTTGACCGGTCGTCTGTCATTACGTTCACGTTAACTGTTCCTTGATTTTCATTGATTCATGTCGTGTTTGGCACGTTTTGCCGAGACCATATAGGTGAGCTGTTGCGGGATGCGCACGGACCAAGAATGGAAAGGTGTATTGCAATACTTGCAATAAATGTGGGGCGATACTCCAGTATGGATTGCACACCTTTCCATATATGGAAAACCACCCTGCACCAAACGACCCGCTCCCCGGCCAATACAACACACCGCCCCCACCAATAACGCTAGATGCAAAGGGGGAGAAACTCTGGGCGATTGAAGCAATACTGGACTCGAAACGCACAAAACAGAAAGGCTTCCAGTACCATATACTATGGAGAGGCTTCGACCTTGAGCAGGCAACATGGGAACCACTACAGAACGTCGTCAACGCTCACATCGCCATCAGAGACTTCGAGAAGCACAGCAAAAACAAACCCAGACCTGTGAAAGGCCTCTAGTGAGTTGATACAACTAACTAGTCCCTATGCTGTTTACTATCAAGATAGAAAAGAAAGAAAGAAAGAGAATCTACTACATAAGAGCATAACGGCATTTTATAGCTTCGAGCCAATGGAAGGTTCTAGAAGCTAGGCGGCGCAGCCGCCGTTAAAGCAACTTGCCCGTTACACCTCCCTCCCGTCCAACGTTTCCTCTTCCTTGGGATCGTGGCAATCTGTGTCAAGATGACTTGAGAAGGTGACACTCTTTTTATGTTTCTTCCATTGCTTCCATGCATCAGTGTGTCGAATAGTGGGAAGGGGCTCCCACGTAGGCTGCGAGTAATCATGCCATTTTACGAGCACCTTCTTATGCGTACCTTCCATTCTTTCATCCAGAATCCTTTCGACGAGGTACATTTCTTGGCCGTCCACCAGCACCGGTGGGGCACTCTCTTGATCGATTTTCTGCGAAGGCAATGGGTCTCCGGGTACTGGCCGGAGTAGATCGACGTGAAAGACTGGATGGATACGTCCAGGCACATCCAACCTATAGGCATGTGGGCTGACTTCGGTGAGCACTTGATATTTGGCATGTAACCAATCGAGCTTCTTGCAGGGTCGCGATGTTTTGACATTTCTCAAGTTGAGGTATACCCAATCCCCAGGCTTGTATCTCGGTGCGGCTGTCCTGTGCTTGTTGGCTTGCGCTTGCTGTATTTCCTGGGCCATAGCTATCGCTGCTTGCGCAAACTCCGTGGCATCCTGTAGTCTCTGAATAAAATTCTCCGCTGCAGCTTCTTCCTGTGTTGTGTCTTCCGTGCTTCGATGCTCAACTAACTGGATTGGCTCATTGTGGTAGCCGTGCATGAAGAAGAACGGACTCAGTCCGGTGGAGGTTGCTTCCGCTCGTTAATTGTCGCCATCGCGACTGGAAGCAAGTCCAACCAGTTCTCCTGCAGATAGTTTGTCCATATCCGAAGAATCCTCTCTACCTCTTGGTTCATTCGTTCTGTTGCACCGTCGGTTTGTGGATGGTACGCCGTTGACAACCGCTGCTCGATCCCTAGCAGCTGACAGAAGTGTTTCCACATACCACTGACAAACTGGGGACCCCGATCACTGGTAATAGCCGTTGGGATGCCATGGACAGGGTAGTGTCGTTCGAAGAGTCTTCTTGCAACCGCTTCTGAAGAAATATCGTGTAATCCTTCGAGTTCGACGCCTTTGGTGAGTCGGTCCGTGACCACCATGCAGTTCGTCGCGCCATCTTTCCCCGACGGTGGGAGGTCAGTAATAAAGTCAATGGTAATTTCGCTCCATATGCGTTGCGGAATAGGAGCGGCTTTAGGAGTCCTTTCTTTGTATCCCTCCAGATGGTGTTTCGTCCGCAAACCTCGCAGTTGCGCACAAACCGACGTACATCGCTAGCGGCACCCGGCCAGAAGAAGCGTCTCGACAGAGTCGAGTACGTGAGGTCCCTTCCAGGATGTCCGGTGATATGAGAGTCGTGAGTTTCCTGGATGATCTTCGTACGTAGCGGCTCCGAACCGGGTATCCAGACGCGTTCTCTAAAGCACAGCAGGCCCCTATTGTCTAACGAGCATTCTGAAATGCTGACAACCTTCTCCTTCTGTAATCCTGTTGGCAAACTCTTCGCTCCATCTGCTACCAGCTTCGTGAGTTCTTGATAGAGCTTGTCTTCTTGGCGTGCGGCGTGCCACAGCTGCTGTAACTCCTCATCTTCAAATATCCTGATCTCTTTTCCGAAGTTGATTTCCTGGGCACCCTCGGTGTTGGTAGACAATGTCGATATTGGGACCCTTCTAAGGTGATCATTTTGGAATAGCCTCATAATGCGTCCCTTTAGTCGTTCATCGGAGTAGTTGGCCGGCATATCCTGGTCCCGTCGAGAGAGTGCGTCAGGCAATCCGCCCTTGCGGCCCGGCCTCCATTCGAGCTCGAATTGGAACCTGGACAGGAACTCCGACCACCGCACTTGTCTCTCTGTCAACCTCCTTTCCGAGTAGAAGTACCTCAGGTTCTTGTGGTCCGTTAGGATCTTGAAGTGCTCTACTGCCCGTAGCTCTGGTTCCCACTGCTCCAAACATCTGAGAATGGCGAGTAGCTCCTTGTCATGGATAGCGTAGTTCGCTTCGGCTGCCGAATGTTTCTTCGAGAAGTATGCGACAGGTCGTACCAGTCCATCCTTATCATCTCTCTGCAAGAGCACGCCTCCCGACGCGAATCCTGAAGCGTCTGCTTCCACGATAGTCTCCCTTTCTGGATGGAAGTGTGCAGGATCGGGGCCGTGATCAACAGGTCCTTGAGCTTCTCGAAGGCTTCTTCGCACAATTCATCCCAACGGAATGGCACGTCCTTCTTCGTTAGCCGCGTTAGCGCTCCGCTATCACCGAGAACTCTGGCATAAACATCCTGTAGAAGTTCGCGAATCCAATAAAACTCCTCACGGACTTAACATTCGTCGGGGTTGCCCATTCCTTCACAGCCTCAACCTTCTCAGGGTCGACTCGGATCCCACACTCCGCCTCGATGATAAACCCAAGGTATTTCACAGCCTTGACTTCGAATTCACTCTTGTTGATATCCAGTTGCAGCCCGGCGTCCATCAGTCGTTGGAGGACCTTGCCGACCTTGTCGCGGTGGTCTTGTAGGCTTCCAGAGGAGAAGATCAGGACATCGTCGATATATGCTGACACAAAATCGTCTAGGTAATCCTGGAGCGCGCTGTTAATGTACCGCTGAAAGGCTGCTGGTGCGCCTGTCAGGCCGAATGGAACTACCAGCCATTCGAAGGATCCATAGCGCGTTCTGAAAGTTGTCTTTCCTCGTCGCCGGGGCGACCCTGATCTTATGGAACGCTGCTATAACATCTACCTTGGTGAACCACCTTGCCTTGGCTATCGTTCGCAAGGTCTCGCTCAGTAAGGGCAAGGGATAGCGGTCCCTCTTCGTTATATGGTTCAAACCTCTGTAATCCACGCAGAAGCGGATGCCTCCGCCGGGCTTCTTCACCATAAGGACTGGTGCCGCGGCTGGCGAGCTGCTGACTCTAATAAATCCCTTGTCGAGTAGTTCTGTGAGAGTCTTCCGTAGTACCAATAGCTCCTCGCGGGACATGCTGTAAAGCGGTCCCCAGGGTGGGGCTTCTCTCGGCCATGCTCGTCTTTCAGCACTTCGATCTTCAGGTCCACACCTGGCCGATGAGGGGCAGCTGGTCGGCCAGTTGAGAGAAAGCTCGAGACCACTTGTGGTACTGTGGTGGCAGCTTCTCCATTACGTCAGTCTTCGGTTTCGGTCTTAGGGCCTTGTCAATATCCGCCATCGTGACCGAGTGAACTCCAATGCCGCCTTTGCGTTTGTCACGGCGTGCTTCTGCTAAAAATGTTGCGGCCATGACATTAGAGACATCTAGCTGGGGAGGCTGGTAACGTCGTCGGTCTCGTACTTGAACTCCATTGGACCCGATCTCGAGATATCCTTCCTTCGCATGGATGTGAACATCCTGGTCTTCCATCCATCGTTTACCCAGGATCATATCCCAGTTCAGATCGTCGATGACGTACATGAAAACACGATGCTGCTGATGTCCATCGAGGTCGATCGACACATACGTGATCTTGTCGATTTTGACCTCCTTGCCGTCTCCGGCTGCGTTCTCCAAGATACGCGGCTGAACGCGTATATGTGGCAACTGGAGAGAGTGAAATGTGCGCTTGCTAACCGCGCCGTAGCAGAGGCAGCCATAGTCGACAAGAGATGGCACGAAGTCTGTGCCGTTCACCCTGACGTCTGCTATGAACGGTTCTCCGTCCATTTTTGCTTTTCCGCTCACATCCCATTCTCTCACAGCCGCCGCGTGTCCCTAGTCTGAATCTTCATCGTTATGAGAAGAAGTATCGTCTTCGGCGACCTCGGCTTTAGTGACCGCTGGTCGTGACGGGGTCACGGCATTGACCTGAGTGCGTCGGGTCGTGTTTGCGGGTCGGATAGGCGCAGCCAATGGACAGCGCTCGATTCTGCAGTTGTCTCTTCCACAACGGAGGCAACGCCCTTCACGGTAACGGGCGTCCATCTCGGCCTGGTCGACCCACTTGGCACGCTTGCCCAACAGCGCTTGGTCTTCTGGTCGCTTGGATTGGTAACCATATGTGTTCTTATCACTGCGGGTGCGCGCAGCGTTCACTTTCGCGGATGCTTGTAGAGTTGGTTCCCATTCCATCATATCCTCTCGTCTAACTTCGGTTTTCTGGCCAGGCTGTTTCTGGGCAGCCTGGCCTCCATGATTCTGGTGGTTGTCATAGTTGTCCGAACTCTTTGTGTTGCCTCGAGGCCTTTTCCACTGACCCAACAATTCCATCTGGCTGCTCAGCGAATCGCACCTCCTCGCCAGCCCAACATAGCTGCTGATGGCAGAGGGTCAGAGCCTATGAGGGCTGCTTTCATTTTATCGTTTAGTGCCTCCTGGAGGTAGGAAATCTTGCTGTCATCTGGCCAATACTCGGCGTTGGCATTGGCGATCTCCTCTCAAAGCGGGGGTAAAGGACGTGAACGGTTCATTCTCTCCTTGCTTAATCGAATGCAGGTTGCGTGTAGCTCTCTGCTTGCGATCCCTCTCCCGTACAGCAATTCGAGGCGGTTGAGTAGTTCAGCAACATTGAACGTTTTCTTCTCGGTTTGCATCTCCACAAATGTGGTCACGTTGTCTTTAGCCTTGCCTTCTAGGCTCATGAAGATGTACATAAAGTGGCCTTCTGCATCTCCAAGCGCTTCTTTGTCGACTCGTAGCTTTCCTTCGGTTTCTAGTTTCCAGCTTCGCCACTGGGCCTTGTCGCCGCCGAATTTCGGTATGTCTCGTAATTTGGGGCGCTTGGTTGGGTGAGGGTTGTGAGTGGCGACCACACGGGTGTCCTCAATGGGGACAGCCGGGGTGACAGATGGCGTTGGCTCTAGGAGTTCAGACGAACGGGCTTGCTGGTGTTGTTGGAGTTCCAGGGCAATAAAACGTTCTTCAAACTGGGTGTTTCTTCGGGAACTCTCTTCTCTCAGACTTCGTATCTCGGCAACCAGGGCGCTGAGGACGTCCGGCTGCATGTTGTTGTTATCTTCGGCCATCGCGACTTCGCTGAACGCTAATAGTTCGACGGGACTCAGTTTGGTGTCTTCAGTGTCTTCGGTGTCTTCGGTGTCTTCAGTGTCTTCGGTGTCTTCAGTGTCTTCAATGTCTTCAGTGATCTTGATAGTATGTGAAAGGCCTCTAGTGAGTTGATACAACTAACTAGTCCCTATGCTGTTTACTATCAAGATAGAAAAGAAAGAAAGAAAGAGAATCTACTACATAAGAGCATAACGGCATTTTATAGCTTCGAGCCAATGGAAGGTTCTAGAAGCTAGGCCTATCGTCACAGACCGAGACCTCGCGTTAATCAAGGCGTTAAATGACAATCCATCTTTCCACTTGATACCGCATCTACTATGACGCTGGCATGTCAATAAGAACGTCCTTGCACGCACGAAGAGGCATTTCCCCGGGATGGCTCCGGACAGACAGGTTCGGACAGACATATTGCAGGGATTATCGCGCTAAGCATGGGTTAAAAGCCATCGCGCCTTGACTACAACCTGAACGGGAATAATCGTTCATCGCCCCTTGCTAGGGTGCGCGTCGCAATAAGAATCGCGTTGTTCAGGTTCAATGGAGATCCAGCATCTCGTCCGACGCGAACGCGAACGCGATGGAGATCCAGTACCGCGACAGCCTCCCCGATGATGTCCGCTCCGGCTTCAACAAAGCTGTAGAAGCCCTACCGCAAGAGCATCTCCGCGCTCCTGTTACCGGTGACGAAGTGAACAGCCCCGAGGAAGCCCTTCACTGGTTCCAAAACTATGCATTCACCCAGGGTTTCGCTCTGGTCACTGCCAGCAAGGTACGCGACCGCCTGCGAGTGAATTGTATCCATCACGGTAGAGGTACCCGAAATACTCGAAAGCTGCCGGACATCGTCACAGAGGGAGGGGACCGAAAGAAGGAGCTTACGTACACCAAGGCCAAGGAGTGTCCTTATAGTCTTTATGTCTCCTACAAAACTATCCGGAGCGGCCGCGGAGGATAGAAGAGCGAAAAGGCTGGGTGGTCGGTTTCACTTACGCGTACCATACGCATCCGCCACTTCAAAATCCCTTCCACTACGCCTGCCATAGATCCCGTATCCCAGAGCGGGCTGCGGCAGTCGATCTGGCCCTCGCGCATCGGACTGCCGGCCTGTCAGCAACTGAATCAACCCGGATTCTCGACCAACACGGCTTAGGCAACTGTCTTTCTGCAAAGGAGTTCTACAACCTGAGCCGGTCTGAAGGGAGACGCAGCAGTCAAGAAGCGCTTGACGTCTTGCTCACTTGTTTGGAGTTCGAGGACTTCCGTGTTCGTTGCTTCTTCAAATACCTTCTTGACGACCAAGGACGACAGACAGCGCGAGTACTCGAGCATCTGTTCTTCTGTTCTTCCGAGCAGATCCGCCTGGGTAGAAGATTCGTCAGCGGATTCCTCATGCAAACCGATGCGACGTTCAACACCAATTGCCTCCACCTGCCTTTATCTGTCATAGTGGGAATCACAAACACAGGCAAGACATTTCCTCTGGCTTTCGCCTTTATAACATCTGAATCAGCTGAAGCCTTCGAATTTGTGAATGCTCAATTGGCAGAACTGGTCTGGTACGATTGCCCACCACCTCAAGTCGTTCTCGGGGATCAAACCAAAGGGCTCGCTGCCGCGATGGCGGCGTCCCAAGAGAGCTGATCCTCAGGGTGAAGATGGGCAAATATTGCAGCTTTGTGAATGGCATGCCGCAGAGAACTTCAAGAAGCGATTGTTAGACTCGGGCAAATATACGAAGGAACGAAGGGAAGAGCTACTTCGGTTCGTTTGGGATTACATACAAGCTCCCGATGAGGCGCGACTTGAAGAACGGCGAGGCGAGCTGCTCGCAGAAATTCGGGAGCCGGAACGCCTTTATCTCAAGAATAATTGGCAACCGAAAGAGCGCCAATTTGTCCGAGCACACACGACAGTACCCGAACCTCGGATGTAACAGCACGCAGAGGAACGAAAGCTACCATGTCGTGGTCAAACAGTCTCTCAACAGGCAGCTTCCTGCAGGCATCCTGTCAAAACTGGCCGAAAGCTTGAAGAAATTAACTCAAAAATCACTGAAGACGAGGATCGGAGCAGGGCTGACGTCCCAAGGCTGTTGGACCGAGCTGCTTTCCGCCTTCTTATCGGGAAGGTTCCACACTATGTTCTGAGCAAGCTAGCTCCGGGTGGGAGGCAGCAAAAGCTCTAAGATGGAGGCAAAACACTGAGCTCGAGAAGGAGCGTAAGGTATTGGGCCTTCTCAACGAACCTGGATGTCCCTTCGCGTGTGAGTTCCCACTCAGATACGGCCTGCCCTGTCGACACTGGCTGTACGAGGCTGTTGTCAGGTCCTGGCCTGTCCCACTCAATGTCCTTCATCCACGCTGGTTACTCGACGGACCTGCGGTGGTACGCAGCTGGACCATGTCTTATGCAAAGCAGCCAGCTCCGAGGTCACAAAAATCCAGGAATCGTTACCAAGAATCCAAGATGGCGGTAGGAACATGGTTCTTCAATCGGGATTGGAGGTCGTTCAAGTACAGGGGAGCCTCGGCGGACAGCAGGCAGAGGAGTTCTCGAGACTCTTTTGCTTACAGAATGACCGTCTAATAGCAGATTTCCAGGCGCAGGTACAGTCAAGAGCCCTCCTGCCTCCGGAATTGCCGGAAGCACTGCATTCGCCTGGCTTGAAGAGGTTCAAATCGCACGGTAGCACGAAAAGGCGATCCATGACCGGCCGTGAGGCCGCAGAGCATACTGCCGCTCGAGCGGACCGAGCCACTTCGGATTTGCTGAAGGGAGTTGATCAGCTTCCTGACCATTCCTCGACCCCGTCCTCTCCCTTGGCAACTTCGCCACAGCTTCTTCGGGAAACGAGACGTAGTCGAACACGGAGCACGAAGGATATAGAGAAGGCGACGACTGCTACTGGGAAGTCTCCAGATAGAGCGGGAAAGGCCCGAAAGGGTGAGGAACCCGATATGCCTAAGCCGCGGTGCAAGAAGCGGAAGGCTTCAAGGAGGATGAAACGCAGTTGGAACTGCAGCAGCGGCCTACCCAGGATTGTATACTAGTGGATTTCCTTCAGACTGAAAAATGGCACTTGTGCCCGTTCAGGTTGTAGTCAAGGCGCGATGGCTTTTAACCCATGCTTAGCGCGATAATCCCTGCAATATGTCTGTCCGAACCTGTCTGTCCGGAGCCATCCCGCCTCTCCCTCCTCGATCTATGTAGATCTGGTCGTTTGTCAATCGCCAGGATAATGTGCTGTAGTTCTCGATTCATCAACACGTTGCTTGCCATAAACCAAATATTCTCAAGTGGGGTATTCAGGAATAACTTGAACGTCTATATAAATAACATCTCCTTCAGGGCAAGCCCGGCCCTCTCATGCCTTCTCATTACAATAATTAAGTCAGCATCTCGCTCTCTCTATCATTGAAGATCACCGCATTTCGACATGCAAGACAAGATTACTACTGAGGATGTGGTCGAGGCAAGTGTCGTGTTTGCCGTGACCACGGTCTTTCTAGCTCCTTATCTGTACAGGACGATCAGAGTCAATCAGGGATGGACATCTTACGAATCTATCGAATCGAACGCCAAGACTTGGCGTTCGAATCGAATAGTGCCTCTGCAGATTCGCATCGAATCGAACGCGTGAAAGTTCTTGTGCCTTCGATTCGACCTCGAATCGAATGTGTCTCCAGTAGATTCGCATCGAATCGAACGCGTCTCCTGTAGATTCGATATCTATCGAATGCCAGGGTTCGATCGAATTCGATACGAATTCGATCGAACGTGGGACTTCAGCGGAGATCGGGGCATCAAACGTGCGTTGCACCGACATGTCTTTGCCACCATCACGAGGGCTACTACATCCCTCGACTTAAGAAGTGCCAAGGGGTGTACAGACATCATGGCTGCATCAGATGAGACGTCGAAAGCACGGTCAATTGCTGTCCTAACAAACTGGTCAAATGTCACTCGGCCCCTTCAGCGACGCAAGAGCATCAACCCATTGATCTTCGTTGAGGCTAAACAGCGGCAGTGAAGGCGTGTAGATCCCAGCTTTACTCCACGATCGAATGCATTGAGCCATCGCTACGATCTCCCTCCGCAACCGGCTTCGCAATGGTGCCGTCATACGTCCTGCACTGCTAAACGTCCTCTCGCTTTCCGCGGACGTCGATGGAATCGTAAGCATGTCTACTGCCATCAAAGACAGTCGCGGATATCGGCTCCGGTTGATCTTCCACCAGTCAATCGGTCTGCTTCTGTAGTGGTGGCTGTTGACGACGTCCTCGGCACAATATCGAGCATATTCGTCATCACCAGTCGCTCCCGCCGTAGACGGTTTCGTCTTTCGGTTACTCTTGCGGGCACCTGACGCTCCGAACGAGCCCTGGTTGAATGGCGAACCAGCTACAGTCCTAGCAAGTCTCCGCTCAATGTAATCCATGGAGGCCTCATCAGACGTAGCGAGGATCTCGTTGTCAACGTCGCGCTCCCTATACTTCTCCCAGATCTCCAAGAGCTTTGCTTCGTATTCCAACCGCCAACTCTTCGTCTTCCGAGAGGGTACTCGAGACCACAGTTGATCGAGAAGGCGCCACTTTTCGCAGGATTGAAGACAACAGCCACGACATATGCAGCGCTAGTCAGCCGGCTGTAATATTTATGCAGCTTCTTCCATCCGAGCTTGATATAGACCTTGAGAAGCCTGCGGGTCCTGCTATCGAGCCCGTCATAAATGGCTACTTCGACGTCCTTCTTCTCCTGGTCACTGGATCCTCAACCTCTTCGAAGATTGTGCCTTCGATAGCACTTTCGAGGTGGTCAAGTAAGATCTCAAAGACAGGGAAGTATTCATCGAAACTGCCACATGTGGACCTACCACCGGGAACACCGCTGCCCTGAAGTTGCTTGTTGGCAATCTCGAAAGGCTTCAGAAGCTTGACAAGTACCCCGATGACTTTCCAGTCGTACGCACTTAAGCGGTATTGCAGAACTGCCGGCTTCGTTCTGTCACAGAGGCCCTCGGTTTCCACCGGTTCTGAACGTCATTGAAGAAGGTATTGAGCGCCGGGCGGAGTCGAAGAGCCCGTTCCATCATACGCATGTCCGAGTTCCACCGGGTGGCATTGTTGAAGGCCCAGTGAAGTGTTGTTCCGTGGCCGGATTCCTTGCGTTGAGACTGATAGAGGAGAGTAGAATGTGGCGGAGCTACGGTCTGCATCTGCAAGGCCGCATGACTCACACCACCCATGCCGGCCAGGGAACAGTTGGAAGCAACATCCCACCCCTTCGTCCTATTGTGGCTGTTCTACCCCGGACGCATGTGGAGCTGTCGTGCATAAGCCGTCAACCAACCTGCAGCAACACGTCCACAACCTTCCTCACATTGAGAACCAACAGCGATATTTGGAGCAACGCGGAACTGGATGCCGATTTCGTCCGTTTGCCCGCCGCGCCAGGACAGCATCGCTGTTGGTGTGCATGTACCTAAAAGTAGAGTCCTTGAAATGCATCTCGAAGCGGACGCGGTCTGGCAAGGTGGATTCTGGCTCTTGGTCACTTTCTCACCAACGACTCCGAGACCCCGCGTCGCCCGCCTTCATTTCCTTCCTCTTCTCATCTTCTGTTATACTTTACAGTACCCCGTCACTATCATCTCTACATTGCCCCCATCCGCACAGCCGTCGGCGGGAGGCCAGGCGCCCGCACCCTTGTTTGTAGCTGGCCATTGACACGCTCATGTTATGATTGAATCAACGGCGTCTCAGCTCCTGACACAGCAAGTCATATGGACAATACTGTATGTGACGATTGAGCAATGATTGGACAGAATGTCCCCCACTAATGAGCTGTTGCACTGTTGTGAAGCCAGAATCGCCCGCGGGTACGGTCACGGGCACCCATGATCGGGGAAGGGTCTAGGAGCGACACCCCGCGTTTTCTGTGCCCAACGTAAGTTACCTTCCCCTTGCTTCATACGGTCTAGGTACAGGGATAATAAAAATCGCGTACAGGACGGCTAAGGGGCTCGGACATGCTATCTATGCATGCCACCCGAAAAGGGGGCGTGCAGACTTTAACCTTGTGCGAGGCTGACCCTAGCAGAATCAGGGTTTGTGCAGTGAATCTGGCTTGCAACCTGGGCGGAGCCTGCCCATAATTCGCAACGGGTCAGGGCAATGTTTGCAACTTCAATCCTAACCGGTTAGGGCCTTGACGGATGCCACCATCCACCGCCAGCACAGCTTGGTCACAGGTTATGAGAAAGCTCTGCTTCTCAAAGCTCTCTGGGCGATGTTATGCAGTAATAGCCTGCCGCTCAGATCCCACAACTCAGACCTGGCTCAGTCGCACGATCCGCATGACTGACCGCAGGTGCTGTAGCATTCGGGGTCACACACGGTCCCAGGACACACGGTCCCAGGACACACACGGTCCCAGGACACACACGGTCCCAGGACACACACGGTCCCAGGACACACATGGTCCCAGGACATACACGGTCCCAGGACACACCGCATGACTGACGGCAGGTGCTATAGCATTCGGGGTCACACATAGTCCCAGGACATACACGGTCCCAGGACACACACGGTCCCAGGACACACAACGGTCCCAGGACACACACGGTCCCAGGACACACACGGTCCCAGGACATACACGGTCCCAGGACACACACGGTCCCAGGACACACATGGTCCCAGGACATACACGGTCCCAGGACACACCGCATGACTGACGGCAGGTGCTATAGCATTCGGGGTCACACATAGTCCCAGGACACACACGGTCCCAGGACACACATGGTCCCAGGACACACACGGTCCCAGGACACACAACGGTCCCAGGACACACACGGTCCCAGGACACACATGGTCCCAGGACACACACGGTCCCAGGACATACACGGTCCCAGGACACACACGGTCCCAGGACACACATGGTCCCAGGACACACACGGTCCCAGGACACACACGGTCCCAGGACACACAACGGTCCCAGGACACACACGGTCCCAGGACACACATGGTCCCAGGACACACATGGTCCCAGGACACACACGGTCCCAGGACATACACGGTCCCAGGACACACACGGTCCCAGGACACACATGGTCCCAGGACACACACGGTCCCAGGACACGACACACACGGTCCCAAGGATACAAATGGATCCCAGGACATACATGGTCCCAGGGATCCCAGGACACACACGGTCCCAGGACACAATTGGATCCCAGGACAGGACACACATGGTCCCAGGACACATCTGGGGTCTCAGGTCTCATCGAAGCCGGCCGTCGCCATTTCGACATCGTCCTCCCCGTGGCCGGCCATGACTCTCCGCGATGCAGCGCGGCGGTCGCTTTCCCGGACCACGGTTATATCTTGTACCGGTATGCTTTGGATGATCCTCTCCCTCTCCTTCGAAGCACTCATCTGCTGCGACTTGATGGCCCTGACCTGATTTTGCGGTGGTAGTGCGGCCCCGGAAAATACCCGCCCCTACATATTTATCCGTCTCGCCCCTCGTTCGGGTTACCAGGCGGCCTCCAGCTCGGCCGTCGAGCGCAGCACGGATTGTTGGAACCGACAGAGCTGTTGCATCATCGCCATGAGCTCCGGCGACTTAGCCGCCATCTGATTCGAGTCCACTGCACCTCGGACAACGTCGATCAGCCGCGTTGCGTTTCCGATGCTGATAGACTGATACGTCACTGTAGATTCTGCGCCCGCATCGTCCCTCCCCACGTGTCCGACCGTCGGATAGCCATCTCCGGAGGTGGATGCCCATCTCTTGGCGTCGCGTTCTGCGTCTTCGGCTGGTCGTCGAAGCAGTTGCACGTTATTGATGAGACATGATATTCTCGGAGCCAGCGCCTTTCGCGCCCGCGCCCAGATGCTGTTGATGTCGCCCATTTCTTCGCACAGGAAGAGCTCCCATGGTACAAATAGCGCAAGTTGCTGCACGGCTGCCTTTCAATGGTGAAAAAAAAATTGGGATCTCCCATATCCGCCGGCGAAACGGTTTCCGCATAATCCCCCGACGACACGAATCCTCATCGTCGTGGGCAAAGTCCCTGCTCAGGTCGCCGTCAAGGCAGACGGTGGCCTGCTTTCCCGGCCGCCTGAGCACCTGAACCCAACGTCTTCCTGGCGGCCGCCCATCCTCGACAGGGGCCTCTCCCCAACCTGCACAGCTCCCGTCGTTGCTATCGCGTTTGAGTCTGACGAGCGATACGTAGTCGTACAGGTACAGGCCTAGCAGGAGCTCTCCACGGTGCTGATATGCCTTGACGTGGGAGCTCCTGAGGCCTGCTTCTTCGACGACGATCGACCCATCCAGGATCATCCGCCAAGCCTCTCGCTGCGAGCCGTTGTAGAAACCTGTTTTTGAACACTTCGTTATACGCGCCCTTGACGTCGAAGCTCACAAGACCAAGCACTTTTCCCATTCGCCATGTTTTGTAAATGTTCTCTTGCAGGAGCACGAGAGCCTGCTCTGCGAAACCCCTCTTCCTGGCTCCAAAGCGGTTAGTAGGCAACAGCCCAAACGTTTCCATCGCAAAGGAAATCCGCTCGGCCATCTGTTGCGAAGACCATTGCGCCACGCAGGCAAAAGTGGAACGCGCTCGCTGCAATTGACACATATCTGATGTCTGTCTTTCTTCCCGACACCATCACCGCCTCCAGAAGACTCCAAATGGGAGGGTAAAATAGTGTACGCCTGCGACCGGAACAGACTGCCACCGAAGACACAGTCGAACGAGCACGCCAAACCTCTAGTCGCAAAACGGGTTACAAGTTCTCAATATTAGCTAAAGAGTCACTAGATGGACACACTTGGACTCTCAGCCATCGACCAGACAAGGAGTGCGCTGAGCACAACCACTCACCAAGCGGGGACCCGTCGGCGCGCCCAGTGCATCGCCGACTCGAAGAGCGCGACGCTACAAATATTTCAGATCTTGTGGCGTCTGGTAGTCCTCGGGATATCATAACATACCTTCATAACCATTCGAATACCTTGCCAGCCAACGAGACATTTACAATCGGATTGCGGCGACGAGAAGGGACCTACACCAAGGCCGGAGCAGCATTCAAGCACTGGTTGGTCAGCTGCATAATGAGGGCATCTGGTGCCGGGTTCGAAAAGATGTAGACAATCGTTTGACAGGCATATTTTCGCCACCCGGATTCTGTTGCATCGATGCGTCGTATATCTGTAGGATTGTGCACTGGCCAGACTGTTGGCGTGCCCGCCTGATTACCTCCAATGCCGAGCAGTTGCTCGTCATGATCGTCAAATCTCGGCGACGCAGTCCAGCCGGCCAGCGCCGTTGCCACTGCCGCGATTTCTGCTATGTACCGGTTCTGCTCATCCCTCAATCCGAGGGTGACCGAGTAGCTGGCCAGCTCGCTCGTGCTGTTGAGGCTAGTGTCGTGAACGACACCTCCCATTCCAACCACGCTCTGCGAGCTGGGAGTGGCGACGACGATATCTTCCACGTCGTTTGGCTTGACCACCTGTATCTGATCCCGCTCGCCCACGACGCGGTCGTTCCGTGGTGCCAGAGAGTACTCGTGGATGATCTCCATTCGCTCTGTGTCTGACTCCGCGATGATCGAGGCAATCCTTCGCATCGACGAGACGAGTCGCTTGCTCGCTCTGACCTTTGATAGCGTCCGCAGGCTGATCTAGAACCTCGCCGCGACTTGACCGTGCCGTTCTCGAAACGATGCGATGCCGGCCTCAGCCTCGGCTATCACTGTTGCAACTGTGCCGGAGGCTCCGTGACAGCCTGTTCCCCAACCTTCTGGGCCCTGTCTAGCTAAGCCGCCTCTCTCACGCCGCACGTCTGCATCCACACACTGGAGGCGTAGTGCATGGTTGGTGCTACCGTCGCGACAAACAGTTTTCTCGCCATTTGCAGGATATCGTCTTCAGTCTTCGCAAAGACATGCGGCCGTGAGCCCTTTGGCGGCCGCTCTAACTATCTGCTCCATGCACCGAAAGCTTCGTGCCCATGACCACCCCTAGGAGTTTCACGCTGCTCTTCGGTATGACCTCTTGTCGTTTGGTCATGAACGGTGTGACGCTGTCGCAGGTGCGCTCCATTACTCTTGTGAAGTGAATGATAGTCGTTCTGTCCGCTTCAAACGTTGCGCCGCTGCATCTTTCCCACTGGAGCGCTTCGGCAATGATTGATTGGATGCCCTCTCGGTTCGCCTCCGCCGTTGGCCCCGTCACCGAGGCTGAGTGAGTAGTAGTCCACCAACGCGATCACGCCACCTTTTGCATTGATGCGTCTCTGCACCAAGTCTGTGTTGAAGAACAGGAACGCAATTGGCGACAGTGGTGATCCTTGCGGCAGACCTGCTTGGGGCAAGACTTGTTGCTCGGACGTGTCCCCGTTCACTACCACTGAGGCCGTCCGTCCCGGAGCAGAATGCATCCATCCTATCCACCAGTCTATCTAGTATCCCCCTCGATTCATCCTCTCCAGCACTCGCTCTTTGCAGACCCCTTTGGTCGCGTGAAGGTGGAGCAAGCTGAATAATCGATTTACCGCCGTCTGCCACTGTGCTAGGTGCCACGCCGGCGCTCCACAGCTTGTTGCTAGGACTCGCTGCTCCTGCCTCAGTCAGGACTGGCTCTATCGCTTCGTGATGGTTTGCTCACTTCACAGGGCTCGAACGTGCGCGGGGTTGAATATCGGATCTGATTTTGCGTGGCGGAAGTTCCAGGAGGAACTGGCGTAGAACTCCTCCCGGGCTCATAACTATTGCACCAAAAGTAGAACGCGCGCTCCAACAAGTGGTGCGCAATTGACAGTTATGGCATTTGGTCTGTGTGACAGACAATACTACTTTGGCAAGCTCGATAGGCAGGGTAAGCCACAGATCTTCTATGTATCGCCGACTCGGACAAACATGCAGCATAATGTTCAGCCGCTCAGTACTGGGCGTGGGAACGAGTGAAATCAGTGTCTTAGAAAATGGTGCCAACTTAGTCATTAATGGTTTTGTCGATACCCTGCACACAAGCTGGGTAAAGCCTGTCGCTGTTTACCGGCAACTCAGGGCAGCCAAGGGCCTCAGGCGGTGATCCGGCAGCTCAGGGCAGCTCAGGTCATCAGGGCAGCCCAGGGCGGCTCAGGATCGGCTCAGGGCGGCTCAGGGTACTTCGAGGGAGCCCGGGCTGTGCTCAGGAAAATGTATGTGCAGGTGAATTTCCGAGGTCCGAGGGGTAGATTCTGGTTGCTGTGTTGTGTAGGTGAGATAATTGAAGGATGATGCTGAAGCTTCGGGGGATTCTCGCTGCCAGCTCTTTTCGTACTCGAGATTGGCTGCACGACGGCTTTGTCGGGAAGAGGTAAGATAGGAGCGTGCTTGAAGTAGCTTTATAAAATACTACTTGGTTCGCCCTATGAATATTTGTCCATGTTATCCATCATGCTGTAAGTAGGAGGAGCGAGTTGGCCCTCAATAGTTACAAATGCGGTACACTATTATTCCTCACTCATTTTGCGCCACTGTTGTTTGACCGCCGACACCGTCCGATTGAGCTTGGAAGCGATCCAGGACTCCGACTTGTTCTCCTCTTCCATGCTCTTAGGCGACGTTCCTCTAGCGCTGACCACCGGCGGCGCTTGGCAAGCACCTCCCTTTTACCGCTTTTGACGATTAGAGGATCGTCCTCGTCGTCGCTACCAGAAATGCTATTATCACTCCCATTGCGATTCTCGTCGATAGGACTCAGAGACTCTGCGTTGGCAGGTACTCTGCGACTGCTCTCTGGAGCCGTAGACCTTCCGCGCAAGTTGTAATGCCGCTTCAGAGTGTTGCTCACGGGTTGGCTATGCCTTGCCTTGCCCGAAACATCCTTAGGGAATGGGTTGGATAGTAAGGACAGTGCTTCAAAGAGAGCTGCACGAAAAATCGCGCATGATTTACATTGTCCAGATTGTTCCATCTCTTGCGTTCCACGGAACGATATTGCGGAATGGGGCCCATTTTGCAGCGACCGCTGTGTGCCGTCTAGGGGAGGTTGACTCGTCGTCGCAGAAGAGAAAGCAATAGGGTCAGAGCCAAAGCTTGCAGGAGAACTGATAAGGCCGCCCTGATGAGCCGCGGTTGGATGGGAGCCGCTCGTGGGATAGCGGGCAAGTGCCCTCACAGCCGATCGATTGTCATCGAGATCGTGACTGCCATTGAGGCGACGAGTCTCCAATAGTTGAGGTCCTGGTCTTGAAAATCAATCCCATCGTCGACTGGGATCAAGGCACTATCGTAAACACCCGGTTGATGCAGCAAAGTGCGACGTTCAGCCGCGGAGGGTAACTTTAGACGTTTTGTTTCCTGTTGATCATCAACGCCACTGCCATGATGGTTGTCCCCCAGTAATCGCTTTGTCCTGTTGGATATCGGTGCGATGACGTGCTGTTGACCTTCATTTAGCCAATGCTGGAAGCCCGCATCGTCATCAAGGAGGCTCTTCAGAGAGAGGCTCTCAGCATTGGCAGGTGCAGGAGCAGATGCGCTCGAGCCCGGCGAGGAAAGAGGGGAGGAGTAGTGAGGACCTCTGAGTTGGTCTATACCGAGCCTTGAAAGATCCGCCGACTGCTTGGCGGTACCGGCTTTGGGCCAGGTCAACGCTGTCTGGATCAAATTGTCATCGGCAACATCTGCCGGAGGGACCATCACTGCTGCCGGAGCGGCCGGGTCCATCAGCGTTGGAGACTTCTCAGTGGCCTTGCTATCCCCCTTCTGGATATCTTCCACCCGTACGATGGAACCTGAATAAAATTCTGTCAGTCCCGCGAAATGAACAGTGTGGCAGGGGTTGACTACCTGATATTGCCTGAGGATTGTCCGCTGCAAGCTGAGCCGCCGCAGGCTTCAACGCACTGCCGAGGTGTTCGTCGACTTCTTCGCCACCAGCATTGGAAGCATAACACCTGTTCATGGGGTGCGAGACAAACTGCATGTCATCGGACCAATCGTGGCCGGACCAATCGAGCGCCATCACGACTTCCTGGTCTTTGAAATGTCAGCAGTAATTTATCTCCAGTACGATTTCCCTTCAGCGGCATACCGTTCATCTTCGACAAGCCTTCTGCATTATGCTGTGAATAGTGGTCTTCACCGCAAGTTTCTAGTAACGTGGCATCATGACGACGCTCCTTGGGCGCGAGATCTGGGTGTTTTTTCTTTCGCTGCCTTTGCGGCAGGGGAACATATGGTTTGAACTTCAGGGGAGCGGCCATGATGTTTGGAGACCAGATGCGTGCGTAGTCTGTACTAAAGGTATGAGAAAGGGGGAGAGGAAAGCTGAGGTGGGAAGCCTTCCATATTTATCAAGGGGGGCAGTCACCCTCTCGCGGCGCGTCAACCAGATACCCAGTAGCAAGGGACTTTGAGCTGAGGTCGGACAAGTCGTTCTGCAAACAATTCCATCGCCGAGAGGTAGGAGCCGCAGGATCGAGACCGTTCCATATCAGTCATTCCCTCTGCCACTGTCCCTGAAGGTTACTAAATTTGGCTCCGACGATGGTCAGCTCTCGGAACGACAGGGGACTAAATCGACCTCCCGTTCCCGCCTGATTCTAGCTGCAACGCACGACCAATGGCGGAGTCTGCAGCGCTGCAGCTACTTGGACTGGCAGGACCGGCGAAAAGAGATTCGGGCCGACCGATTCGCAAGGCAGAATCCATGGGCGCCGCTGGTTGCACGCTCTTGGGCCCCTGACAGCTCACGTCCCAACACTTTCACAAGGGTGCGAACATGGAATATCACCTCGCAGGGCAAGGCCATTGCATCCTGCGGGCTTACCCATAGAAGGCCCGGTTGAGTCACTCCGATCAGGTTTTGCAATGCCATCCTCGCCCCTTTACGACGGGTTAGCGGCGGGAGGATCGTCCAGGACCCGGTCCGGTCCAGTACCAACAAAGCAGGCTGTGCAGGACGCTTCAAGGTGATTTGTGCCTTGGAAAACTGCCAGCCCGCCGACGGTGGGCATGTGATATGATATGCGTCCTACCCAGATCCTTCTCGGTACAGTTTCCCATATTTGGGGGTTAAACGTGATCGGCTCGGAGCTGCAAAGTTGCTGTATCTTAATTCATAGCCAGGAGGATTCGGCAGTCTGTCCCACGGTGGCAGGCTCGCGCCCTCGAAAGGAAAGTCCTGTTGGTGTTTTGGCCTGATGAGCAAGATTATTAGTAAGGGCCTCGTGCTTGGATGTAGGCTACTGCGAGTCCATCCTCTTTCAGTTCTGCCTCGTCATACTTACCGTCAACAACGCGTTCGGTCAAAAGTCCGTAGGGATTTATCCCTGCCGCCTAACCGGCGAGCCGATGGTTCGTCCCCCCGCTGCATAATGAGAATCAAGCTCGGAGAGACGATCCATTCATCAATGCGTGAGGAAACGTCACTCGTTGGTCGAGGCGGTGTAGGACTGACGAAGATCCCTGCCATTCGGAAACCTTGCCCAGCGCAGGCTTCAGTGCCGCCCCAAGAAGTCGATCGGGAGAGGCGAGACGAGATGGGACATTGGTGTGTCTCCCAAAAACCCCGGTCAAACTGTTGATTATGTGATTTCGGTTCGGCGTTAGGGGCCGGCTGCGTTCCTGCTCTCTTGATTTCTCTCGGAGAATCCTTGCGGTTGCGCACGACGATTGATGTCAATGTCGATAAGGCCTCCCTACTCTTGCACCAAGCATCAGCGGGTGAGCAAGACTCCGCCCTCATTTCCTATTCCGGGTCCGTTCGCATTGATAGACCTTCTCGGCCTCTTAAGAGTATCCCGTATTTCCAAGAGAGGCAAAATCGATATGTAGAGGAACGTTAACACCGAAGCACGAAGTCAGCGCCCGCGGTGTCTAG